GCTCTGTGTGTGACCGGGTGTGGTGCCCCACCCCCCACATGGCCCTGCTCTGTGTGTGATGGGGTAGAGCCGCAACCTCCCCATCAGCCCTGCCCTGAGTGTGACAGAGGGGAGTGCCTAACACCCTGATCAGCCCTACTCTGTGCATGACGGGGGAAGCTCCCCACCCCCTGATTGGCCCTGCTCTGTGTGTGACAGGGTACGGAGCTCCAACCCCCCCGATGGGCCCTGCTCTCTGCGTGACAGGGGGCAGCGCCGCAACCCCCTGATCTGCCCTGTGCTTGCATGACAGGGGGTGGCGCCACAACCTCCCCATCAGCTCTACCTTGAGTCTGACAGGGGGCGGCGCCCCAACACCCCAATCGTCCCTACCCTGAGCATGACTGGGGGTGGCATCGCAACCTCCCTATCCGTCCTGCTCTGTGCATGACAGGGAAAGGCACCCCAACTCCCCAATCCGCCCTGCTCTGAGCCCGACCAGGGGCTGCGGGACAGGCACCTAGGGATTGGGCCTGCCCTCTGCCACCCGGGAGCAGGCCTAAGCCAGCAGGGCATTATCTCCCAAAGGGGTCCCAGACTGTGAGAGGGCACAAGTGGGGACAAGGGACACACGCCCCCCCTCCTCCCGCCAGTGCACAAACTTTTGTGCACCGGGCCTCTAGTATATATATAAAGAGGTAATATGCATTTGTCCAGGCCTCCTTACTCATCACAAAGGATCAAATTTGCATATTACCTCTTTATAGGCTGCACACACAGATGAGGGGGGACGGGGACTGCTGTGCGGTGAAGCAAGCCATGGATGGTGCAGGCAAGCAGCCAGCCCACAGAAAGCAAGGAGCAGGGCCTGCAGAGAAAAGGAAGCAGGGCCAGCCAGTCATTGTGTTGATGATCAGGTCTGCAGAGAGCAGAGCGGAGCAGGGTCTGCCAGTGCTGCAGGGAAGAACAGGTCCGCAGAGAGCAGGGTGGAGCAGGTCCGCAGAGGGAATGGGAGCCGAGAGACAGGGGGGCGTGCCCAGGTCACCTCAGTAACTTGGGTAATAAGAATCCAAGAATGTGATCTAGGTTTTTTCCACCTCACTCCTGGAGGAAAAAATGAAGGTCCACTGCTGGAGGGGCTAAGAAATGTCATATCCTGCCCTAGCCAGTTTGGCTCAGCCTCGGTCTGCGGACCGGAGGGTCCAGGTTCAATTCTGATCAAGGGCATGTATTTAGGTTGTAGGTCCCTCCCTGGCTGGGGCCCAGGTCAGGGCTTATGCAGGAGGAAACCAATCAGTGTCCCTCTCATATTGATGTTTGTCTTTCCCTCTCTCTTCAACGCTCTCTAAAAATCAATGAAAAAATATACTCAGGTGAGGATAAAAAATATATATATATATTGTATCCTATGAAAGAGACATATTGAAAATGCCTAAAGAAAGTTGTCGTTTTTTTGTGGTGAAGGGACTGGAGTCCGTGTTGATGAAAACACCTTAGCAGCCGGCAGTGGCAGCAGCAGTGGGATGTTGGGGGTGCCACCTTCTCCTGATCAGCCTGCAGAGGGAGGCCAGACTGTGGTTTAAGTCCGCTCCCTGTGGGAAGCAGGCCTAAGCTGTAGGTAGGACATCCC